TGCGTGCGTGCACGTGTGTAATCTTCCACTTGTTATACAATATACAGTAATCCAAGAAAAGTGCAGCTCGGTTAAGTTTTTTGATGGACAAACTTTTCCTGGAAAATTCTTTAAAGACATGCTAACATAATCTTTTTTTATATGTCTGGCTTTATACATATACATACACGCACGCACGCACGCACGCACGCACTTTTTTCGAAGATATTATACTTCATTTCTCAAAATAAAATTTTATGAGATCTGCATTATCATGTTATTAGAAAAGCACGAAATATGAAAAATTATTTACTTAAAATTTGAAAATTGTTCTATCATTTAAATAATCAATTCTAACTCCATGACATATATATGTATATATATACACAGGGTGTCTCATAAGTTTTTGCCAAGTGCTTTTGTGTAGATAGAGCGGACTAAACTGAGTCGAAAAGTTCTCTACCATTTTGCAATTTTTGCAATAGTTAACGAGATACTAATCACTAAAAATCGCTGAATATTGGTTTTCAATAGTTCTTTATTCAAATACTATCAACTTTACAGAAAAACAGCGAGAGACAAAAATTGTTTATTTCTTCTCATAAAGTTTTGAGAATTTTTTTAGAATTTTTTAATATCGTATTTTCTCAGTTAGTAAAAATAAAAAATGCAGTACTAAAAAGTTGATAAAAAATTCTAAAAAAAATTTTTGAGTTCTATGAGAAGAAAATAAATCATTTTTGTCTCTCTTGCAGTTTTTCTATAAAGTTGATAGTGTTTGAGTAAAAAATTATTGAAGACCAATATTCGGCAATTTTTAGTAATTAATATCTTGTTAACTATTGCGAAAATTGCAAAATGGTAGAGGACTTTTCGACTCAGTTTAGAACTCTATCTCACAAAAGCGCTTGGCAAAAACTTATAGGACACCTTATATACAGTGATGGGAGAAAGTTCGGCAACGGTCAAATATCTTGGAAAATAATGCTTATGGAAAAAAATGTTCAATACAAAAGTTTTAGTATATCAAGTGATCTATTATATGGTTATGTTGAAATGACTTTCATGTGACCTTGAAGGACAACGTGAAGGTCAACTTTGAAATCTTAAATGGAAACACTTATTTTCTTTTACATATCCCTAAAGCTGGTGTCAAGACGTTTCCGAAACACTGGTTAAAAACCCTTTTTGCTTGAGATCTTCCTGAGTTACGAACTTTTAAAGTTTAAGTATCGCCGGTGCGTTATCTAAGGTATACTGCGTGGAGGTGGCACGGTCGGATATCCACCTCTTCGAGATGCTTGATCAAAGTGAGTCTTGTGCGCGCGCGTTTGTGTGTGTGTGTGTGTGTGTGTGTGTGCGGGCGCGCGCGCGCGCGTGCGAATACAGTCAGAGATAAGGACCCGGAGGTTCGTCAGTCCCCCGGTATTTTACGACTCCAAACCCTCTCTGCGTGTGTGCGTATGCGTTAGATGTAATTAAAAATTTAATTAATTAAATGTTCAAATTGTTG